CATTTGATAAAAATCTGATGTTTTTTTTGCTGCCCTGTAGCAGTTGGACTGAGGTTATTCTGTAATTATTTTCTGATTCTCATATGATCTCAAATCAAGAAACAGGGCAGAGCAGCTTACATGACACAAACCTCTCTCACACTTTGAAGATAATTGTCAAGAACTTGTCATGTTCTTGGCACTGATGGCTGGCCTATTTGCTCAATCCATTCACCTAACTCTGCCTGCTTGTTCATTACTGCATATCTTATCCACCTGTTGCTGCTTCTATTTATATGACACAGTCCCCGCCATCATGGCCAGATTATCTGATGCTGATACTCTTGTTCATGTTCTCATTCTCGGGCGCCAGTGGAGAGAGGGTTTTTAGCATTCTATAGTGTTTCTGATTTTCTGATCCTGACCTGTCTCTCGTCCATTGATCACGTCTGTTGCTGTTTGGTCTCAGTGGAGAGAGCTGTTCTTTAGCGTTCCGTAGTATTCCTGATATCCTGAGCTGTTCTGCCTCTCAACGACTGAGCCTGCATGTTCCCATCTAAACGTTCTGCCAGAACTGTCTGTAGACTCATGGAAAGCTGAACCAGCCTGTTCCTGTTCTCATCGGTATCCCTGACTGGGCTTAAGACTCCTAGACCTCTGAGCCTTCCTGTTCTGAACTGTTCACCTGACCTGACCTGGCTCGGACTCTGTTCTACAGGCCTGCAGCATCTGGGACACTCTGGGTAGCACCCACTGCAGCTACTTGGCAGCCTGCCGGCTGGATGCAACTCCTTCTTTAGAGACAGACTAAACTGTTAAACCAGAGTTTCCAGTGATGGGTGGTACCCTGCCCAAGCCACTAATATCGCGGAGCCACAGCCCGCTCCTGTATATAAACGCTTTGAATACTTTGAATACTGGGTTTTTCTGTAGTGTTTTGTGACAGAACAACTTTAGGTTATTCATTTTTTTCTAAGCCATGCAATTAAAATATGTAACAATTAAAACATTTGTCTATGCGCCTCAATGTAGGTAGTGATGACAGGATCATGGGAAGTAGACATTCAACACCAGAAGTGGTACCAGAAGTCAAGTCTTTTGGGACTTCCAAAGCCAAAGACAAGTTAACAGATCAGTTCAGAGCTTGAAAGAATATAACAGAAAAATCCATTTAAATGTCAAAGTAACTCTAAAAACTTACCTTTAAGGGGAAAGATCTATTACATTAATTAAAACTTTGCTCTTTATAATAAACCTGCAGTCTTTCTCCTGATTTGTAAAATTAAATAAAGCAAACTGCAGATTGACTGACAGGGCTCTGTCTTTGATTCCTGACATTCTTTTTAAGCGACAAATGTTGAAAGATATTTTTGAAACATTCTCCTTTCTCCAAAAAAAAAGAAGGACATAGAACAGGGGTAACTTAAGGAATTATATATAAATATAAATAGACAACAAATATAACTTTTATCATAGCTCAATTTAACTCAAGATATTTTATTTGTTTGTGTTTTTTTCACATCTGACATAATGTATTCAAGATATGTTAGGTACATTTTGTAAAAGGAATTTAATTGAAGGCACTAAAAAATTTTATGGAAATAGCTGCAGCTCTGAATTTCTTTGCTTGAAAATAATAACAACTAGAAAAGTGCTCAGATTTGTTCACTAATTGGGATTTACACCTGTAGATACACTTAAACAAGATCTGGATCATTACCAAATTCTAAAGAATTGTTCCTTTGGAATGAGGTATACCTGTGGTAACAATTTCTGTGTCAGCAGCCTCTGGTGTTTTGTTCTGCTCTGACCTTCCTCATTCACTCTGCTTTGTTGTTTGATCAGCAGATGGAGACTTCAAGCGAGGCATGGCTCACCTTTACTGTGTTTTTGTCTTCAGTATAATACTTCTCGACTTTTTTGGGTCTGATGCTGAAGCTGTCAATAGTCACTGCTGCCAACCTATGGTTTAGGGGGGAAGTTCCGCCAAATAATGTTAAAGAATCGTTTAACATTATTTATTTCTGCATCCAGATTATTATGTGGATCATCAGCAAAATGTCATGGGTTGTTCCTTGGACTGAGGTGAACCTTTTGTAAAAATGTCATTAAAATCTGGGTTAGCCTGTACTCACACATACAAATAAACAAACAAAATGAAACCAACTCCACTAAAAACATAACCTCCTTGGTGGAAGTAATAATGATCACTATGTGAAAGAGTGTTTGTTGTTAAAAAAATAAAATATTTCTAGTTTTTTTTTCTTTCATTCTTACTCTTTCAAACCTCTTTACATTCCTCTTCTGCTCATGTGGAACGCTCTGCCAATTACTCTGAGCACATAGAGCAACAAGCACTGCTCCCAGAAGTCAACAAAAATAATTGCCTTCACCTTGGAAAAATCTGCTGCTGGTAAATTGTGCCCATAATGGCTCAGCAAACATTTTCCATGCAGGTTTTTAAATTTACTGATGTTGAAAGTGGCTAAGTTGTAGTTGAGGCCTCCACATCATTATTTGTCATTACTTTAATACGAAACTGGTGGTTTGATTTGAGTAAGGGATGAGCAAATGGAAAGATTAAGCACAATAATGTCATTCGGAAACCCTCTAGTGTTGTTGGTCTTTTTGGTGACTCACCTGCAGTGAACAAATGAGAAGTACACAGAGAAAAATAAGAAAAAACAAAAAACTGACATGGAGAAAAGGAAGCAAAGGCCCAGGAAAGAATAATGAAATGCAGAGGACTGTGAGGGACAGGAAAAAAAAAAGTTGACTGTGGGACATTGAAGTTGGCAGAGGACAAAAATGAATTCTAGCATAATGACGAAAGAGGAGAGAAGATGTTAGAAAATTAAACAAGAAATGGAGATTCAAAGTAAGAAATGAATTTGGGCTAACTCTCATACAGTTATTTGAGGGGAGTATTTTTATCATTTAAGCCCATTTTTAACATATATCGTATAATCAAAACTTCTCCTTCACAGTGGATATTGGCCACTGTGGAAGCCCTTAAAGTTACCTTTGCCAACCATCTCAAAGTTCACTGATGCTTTTCTGTAAATCAGCTCATTGGTTTCGGTGCTTGTTGCAGAAGGAATTGTTCTTAAAGGGGAACGCCATTTTCTTTTACATTCGGCCCTTGATTTTACGCTATTACGTCATGTTCTACTGTTCCCAGCCACCTGTGGCCCGAGCTACTTCTACAACAAAAGCTACAACAAAAGTCCGGCACGCGGATGACGTCATACACACTCTGCTTTGTTTAAAAAAACTATAATTATAAAAAATATAACCACAGATGTCTGGGGGACAATGATTCGCCTATATGTTATGAATGCTTGCGTACCATAAATGAGAAATTATGAACAGTTTAGTTTGTGCCTTCAAGTCGTTGCCCATAGGAAGACGTGGACATGATTTATTACTTGGATATAACCTATTGGAATATATACGGCACAGCTCCAAATGACACAAAACTCATATGGGTGAGTAGAACATGATGTAATAACATAAAATCAAGGGCCCAGTGTAAAAAAAAAACTGGCGTTCCCCTTTAATGCTGTAATCATATCATGCTGGGAAGCAACTTGAGGCACCTTACTTAAGTTTTCTAGTCAATGTCAGCATTGACAAGCTGTCGGTTAAGCCATAATCTTATTTTTTGGTCTTGGGTCAGTGGTTATACCCTTCTGTTGTTCTTGCATTATTCTGGCTTTGTACCCAATATCAGGGGACTGATGTAGGCACCTCCATGCAACCTTGTGTCTTGGCTTCTGGATGACATGGCTTTGTACTGTATGTGTTGTGCCTCCTGGCATTCTAATTGTTGTTGTTGGTTGTTGAAACACTGAGCTGCAACCTCAGAATGTTGGTATTGAATCATCCATGTTTCCCAAAGTCATATAATCCCACTGGCTTGGTTTATTGGAGTAATACCATTCTAGTAGTGCGTTTTTTTGTTCTCATGTCCATTGTTTTCTTATTCTAGTAGCCCACATGTCACCCCAGTGTCCTGTTTCCTCGACAACAAATGATGTAGTTGTTGTTTGGTAAGGTGACACCTGAGCTGGTATGGTTCTATGTTTTTCTGCTATCATATCAGAGGTAAGGAGTTAGCCTTAGAGGACTTGTCCAAGGACCAATAATGGATGATCCTATAAGTCTGCTATTTATCCCCAAGATGTATAAACTCTTGCAGGAATTCTCCTGCATGGGAGAGGAACAGGATGCACCCTGAATTGCTGACCAGGCCATAACAGTCCTGATGTGAAAGACCCCTGTGTGTCCTGATCAATTACTGCCCAAAAACCTTTCTCTCCACAATATGGAAGCTGGGGATCAAGCAACAAATGTAAGTGGGCACATGGATCAACACATGAGAGAGGCAGAGAAAGGCATTGGCTAAAACACCAGAGGAGTCAAATGAAAACTTGTGGTTTACAGAACAGTTGCCCAAAACTGCAAAACCAGACAAACAAACCTATGCACACCCTGGGTTCATTACAAGATAGCCAATGACACAATCCCACACATGGATCCTGGAATTCCTTTCGGAGCTACAAACTGACACAGCAGAAGAAATGTCCATCTTCCTCCTTGTCATTCTCCATGCGGTTCTTGGCTTGTTCAAATTACCTTGCACTTAATTGGCCTTCATTGGCAGGACAATAGTGTATATAAAACAGCCAAATATTGGCTAAAAGAACATGTCAGATTCATAGATTTAGGCAAATTTCAAGGTTCCCAGAATACAACTTAGACTGAAATCCGGAAATGCATTCAGGTCGTAGTACAGATTGTTTTGACATAGTAGAGAAAGGAGAAACACAATATTACTCATGTGGTTGGCAAAGTTACAGCTGACAAGTAAATATTTTGCTCTTTCTAAATTAGACTAAATCAAAATAAAACAATGTTTTTTAAAGCAAAAATATAGCCTAATGAGAAAGAATGAATTTCAAAGAGCATATTTTTTGTCATGTTTCCAGTTTCCCTTAAATATAAAATTTGCAACTTACTTTGCATACAGAGTCCATCAGTACAGTTCTGAGACTGGAGCACCAGACCCTCACAGTTCTTTCCACCATTTTTAGGGGCAGGGTTGTTGCACTCTCTCCTCCTGTACTGAGTGCACTCTGTCCCACAGGCTGACCACTTACTCCAGTCTGTCCACACTCCATCCACTATGCACGAATGAAAGGAGATTTAAAAAAAAAGCTAGTTTTAATTAAAAAAAAGAAGACAATGTAGAAAATGGTGCAGGTGTTACAGAAACCATTGCAACAAAAAGCTCTGTTAATCTTTTCAACTAACACATTACAAACCTTAATCAAACAAAATCCAATTACCTGTGCACAGTGTGGTGCAGGGTAACTTCTGTATGCCCTGTCCATCACAAGGCAATCCTCCATTAAGAGGAGCAGGGTTAGTGCAGCTTCTGGTTCGTTTCTGGAAGCCTCGTCCACAGCGGCTATTACAAGGGGACCATTCTGTCCATGTCGACCAGCCTCCGTTTACTGCAGCAACAGAAATCAATCATAGATAAAATTCCCTTTAAAAAAGTCATTATAAGCCCAATGTTTTTGGTCAAGTGAAGCCTAAATGGAAGAATATGTATGTATATATCTCTGTATATTTATGTATGCATGTATCCATTTATTACCTGTACTTCTCATATGCTGTCCCACTTGCCCCTGTATAATATTTTAAAATGGTCTTAATCCCTTCTTTCTAAAGTTTTAAGATGTGTTTTTTTTTTTTTTTTTGCTATTTCAATGGACTTCTTTTTATTCTGAAGTTTTACAAATTCTTTTTTTTATATATTAATAATTGTCTTTGAAAATACACTCTTTTTATACCACTTTAAATTATTATTAACTGGAGATATGGAGATATTGAGAAGAGTCATAACTGAAAGCCTGTTGTTTCTAAGCTGGAGACCTTATTTCCCAAAAAAAAAAAAATGAAGCGGATTTTCAGTTGCCCTGTTATGTTGACAGAGCTAATTTATAGGACTTAATGTTTGGAAACGACAGTTTCTTAAATATTGAATATTATACAATTTGTGTGACAGTTTTTTTGGTTTAAAGAGACAAACATCTTTAAATTATATAAAACGGCATCATGAGCCAAATTAAAACCTATTGGAGCTAAACAAAAAAGGCAGTTTCACAGCTTGTAGAGGAAACAGCCTTGTAGTTAATTACATGAAGATTGAATTCTAGAACTATTGCTGTTTAAAGTAAAATGAATAGTTGTACCATGAAAAGTGATTTTTTTTTAACCACACTATTTAAGATTTATGAATGAAGAGACGAGGAGAATGTATTCCCTTATTACTTTTGTACCACCATAATGAAACATGTATGAAAACAAATGAACACTATCAAATCACACCGAAAACAACAATCTATTTCTTATAAATCAAAATTGTATTATTTTTTATGAAGCTTGTCTAATTTTTGTCTCATAAAATCAATATCTTGTGTGCTTTTGATTACTTGAATTTGCCTTTGTGGCTTATGGACAGTTAAGAAGACAAATATACGACAGAAAAAAAAAAAAAAAAGTAAAAATACGCCATAAAAAAAGTCCAAACACAAACAAACAGACCTTTAGAAAAGCAAAAAAGGGTGAGAAATGTTTTCCTAAAATATAATCACAATGCCTGAAAAAAAGGTAAAAAACAAAAAACAGCTTGTTTTGTTTTCCAACAGCTATACTTTGAATAGTAGTAGCTTGTGACATTGCAAGCTTCCCAAGGAATGGACAGACATACTCATTTAAGAAAAAATAACAATTTTTAAATCTTGAGTTAAAATCCATCGAAAACAAAACCCAAGGATTTAATTATTAGTACTAGTTTTTCAAATATTTGCAAATACTAAAAACCATTAGTGCTGATTTTAAAAGAAACTAAGACAGATGTCAGATGTTTAAATATTTATTTTTTCTTTTATGTATTTCACTTTCTCTTACAAAAGTTTGGTGAAACACTCTACTTCTTAGATGCAAATAAACAAAAATAAATGTGTTAAATCAACCATTCAACATCTGTGGTTTCTAAGTCATTACCTTTACTTAACTAATAAAAGAATTTGTACATTCCAAATTAATTGTAGGTGGAACAAAACCCACAGACCTTCTGGCAAATTAGAATTACGTCTTCTGTTATAGTAAAACCAAGAGACAAAAAAAATCTCATAAGGGCGCACCCTTATAGGTTCATCCATTATTGTTTGTCCATCCAGGAAAAACAATAATTCACACACTCAGACCTACTGTAAGGAGAAATTAAGAGAAGCCAATTATCCTAATAGTAATGTTTTTGGACTGTGGTAGGAAATCAGAGTACCCGGAGAGAACCCATGCATTCACATGGAGAACATGCAAACTCCATGGACCATCTTGCTACCCACTGTGTCACTGTGTAGCCTAATATATACATCCATATCAAATATTTCCAACATTACTAGTTTCCAACTTTAATTTTTACCACAGTTGATTTTTAAAGAACCACAGCACTGACAACGTATTAGACGGCCAGAAAGACCTAAATCACAAATAAATGTAAAAAGCAGGTAAAAGGTTTGCATGTGAGGTATTTTGGGCTAAGGTTGGAGATGCACAGCTCTGCCACTGCTTTCATAACGTGCCCACTCCTATTTTATGGTAAAAATTAAGTTTTAGGCTATCCAGTTAATTCAGACAGAGGCACTTTTTGCATGTATTGTCAGAAAGATTCTCTTTGCAACTTCTCTTCTTACCTGTTTCCCTTTTAACCATTCCTGCTTCACTCTCCCACCCCTTTCTTATGTTCCCGAGTTATTTCTATTTTATCTTGTCAACACTGTCAGACAAGCCCGTACGGAGGCAAGAAAATTGAACCACAGATTGAACAATCTATTTCTGTAAGGATACATCAGTGTCAAACCTCCATCAATTGTTGTCTGTATAGAGCAGAAGCAGACGCAGTTATTTTGACTGAAACACACCAGAATAAAGTTAGTGTAACATTTGAGAGACACACTCAGCATGTGCATTTGTTTATATCTGTTTTGTACACACAACTGTGTATTAGTTTTTTGTCTCTTATGAAAGACTAGCATTTGGAGAAAGAAAGAGCAGGGAATGTTTTACTTCAAAAATTCCTAAGTAAAAACAGCTCTTGGAAAACAAGACCAACCAACAGCATAAATGATTTGGGACATTTTGTTCAGCACTGTATCATTAGTTTCTTCTTGTTGTTTACCCACATCTTTTACAGGGCACACGGCATTTAAAGGTGCGTCCTTTGCAAAAAATTTGAAAATCACGACTTTTTAAATTAAAAACAAAATGAGGACAGTGCTGCGATTTTTATTTATCTTACAGATAGAGAGCTAAATAAAATTGATAACAAATAACAGATACTACCAAAACCCCCAGTGGCCGTCAATTTGACAAGTGGCATTTTTCCCAATGGAATGGATGTGAAGTGATGATGTCTTGAACTGAGATGGTTCTGGAGTGCAATATAAACGCATTGTGGATATGTAGACCTTAAAACAGGTCTAATATATATATTTTTAAAGCCTGTATTGTATGCTATTATTATTTTTGGTCTAAATTTGTACTAAAAATAAATAAGTAAAATAAGACTGTTTTAATAAACAGGTTCAAAATTTGAAATTACAGTTTTATTCACAGAAATCAATTGATTACATTACTTTTGAGCGTCACTATATGGCCCATGTACCGATTAAATGCGTAATGTAAATTTTTTTTTCCCAAGTTAAGAGGACTGCGGCAACCAGCGGAGCTCTGAGACCAGCGCCAGCGAGGTCTAATCTTTGCCTGTCTGCAGCAGCCGTCTCTTGGCATAGCCTTGCGTGAAGGACCGCTGGTTATGATGATGATACCATTGTTTTATTTGGCAAAATTTTTATTTGATTTGTATATATTTGACTGTCTTAATTATTATTCCCCCACTAAATGTAAAAAGTCACAATTTATTATTATCAAAGACTATTAATAACAGGAGGTGAACAGCAGCTCCAGACTAGCCGAGCATGTGGTGATGTCATCAGTACTCTTCTGTTCCAAATGACCCATATTTATGCTGCGTGCTTCCGTTCTCCCCAAGTTCACACTTTTCTGTTTTCTTCTCAAGAACATACTTGGCAAGGACACAAGTCGGTACTTGCATCCTTGTGACTTGAGAAATGGCCAACAATTCCCTCTCCAACTATACACCTGTAACGGTCACTACTGCTCTGCAGAGATTCTTATTTCAACCGTTGCATATATTAGCTGCGACATATGAATTAAGATTCTATGGCAAAAAAAAATTGATTGACAGATGAGCGTTGATATATGATTGGCGGAATTTAGGTGTTCAGGCTGACGTATAATTAATTGGTCGACATAGGATAACAGAAAAAAAAAACAGATTTTAAGACAGGATTTCATTTGAAAATAGAAATTTTCTCAATTTTGGGACAAAATCGTCTGATAAAGAATACATTTTTATACATTTTTAAGCCAGAATGATTTGACATTTAAAAATGATTTCCCTACGACTTTAAGTTCTTTCCCTTTATAATCTCAGAACCATTAAAATGACGGCCTTGGTAGTTCTAGAGTTAAGGCAGCAGGCAAATGATATGTGACATGTGAAAAAAAGATCTAAAACTGTGGGAACTACTTTTTATACAGTTTTTAGTGAACCACATACAATATGTATAAATACAGGCAGGCACACTTACCATACACAATAACAGTGGCTGTAGTACTTCTTCTTTTGGCCACAATGTTCTTAGCTACACATGTATAGTTGGCTGTGTCAGACAGACGTGCTTGTTTAATGATCAGGTTGTGGTCAATGGTGATATAAAAATTTCTGTCCTCTGCTGGGTCGATTATCTCTTCATTCTTTAACCACTCCACCTGTGACAAAGAGAAAACACAAACCTCTGTGTAAAGAGTTAACATAATAAACAGACAAGAACAGGTAAAATTGGGCCAATGGAAAAATTTGTTTCACGATTAAAATTTGTTGGAGACATCAATTATCTATTAGGATAATGAAGCTGAACAAACACTTATAACACATGTCTCTAGAAACATTGGACTTAGGTCCAGTTTATTTTCCTCTCTTACGATAAATAAACATACATTAAATATAAACAGGATTATCCAAAGATTAATATAAATAGAGCTGTAAAAAGAGCAATTTAATGTTTAGTACATATTCAATATATACAATAATAGAAAAATACTGCCGGTATGCTCACTTATACAGTACCTACATTACTTAGGATTCATATTTCTGTTTTTGGCTCATAAAAGCTAAACCCCAGATCTCAAAACAGTCACTAAATATGAAAGGATAACCTGTTTTAAGCTTTAATTAAGTGATCTCCATAATTTTAATTTGATGTGCTTTATATCAGACTTACATTTACCTGTATAATCCAAAACTATATCTAAAAAGGTTAGGTTTAATCTCCTACTAACTACTACTGAACAAACGGAATATTATGTAAATCAATTTAGCATTTATCCAAGCTATCTTCGAGATACAGCGCAGACAGATATTGTTTTCATTCTTCTTCACATCACAGGGGAGCTGCCAGCCTGACATGGTGGGGTTGTTTGAGTGCCCGATGATCCTAGGAGCTATGTTGCCCCTGGTAGGGTCTCCCATGGCAAAAAGGTCCTAGGTGACAGGCCAGACTAAGAGCAGCTTATAAGACCCTTATCGATACAATCAAACCAAGGACCGTGACGCCATCCGGTATGGCGCAGCTGAGGCCACACCCTGGAGCCAGGGCTGGGGTTGGGACTTCTCAAGCTTTGCCCCAGGGGAGAGGCGGCGAGCTGTGGTGGCCTTGCTCATTGCCCCCCCCCTCCCTCTGTCGACACGTGTCACCCCGGTGAACAAGGGGGTCGTGTCCCTGTGCCTGCGGGTTGGAGACAGGCCTCTCACCACTGTCTGGCCTATGGGCCCAGCATCGGTGCGGAGTGACCAGCCTACATGGTGCTTCAACTGGGGATTCCATTGTTCTACTGGGGGACAGTAAGACCTGGACTGGGGTGATTGGTAGATACTGCCTCCCCAATCTGAATCTGAGTGGTGTACTTTTATTGGACTCCTCTGCTAATCACAGCCTGTCTAGAATGAACACCATGTTCAAGCAGAGGGCGTCCATCAGTGCACATGGCACCAGGACACCCTAGGTCGGAGGTCGATGATCGACTTTGTAGTTGTGTCATCTGATCACTGGTTGCGTGTCTCGGAAACTCGTGTGAAGAGAGGGGCTGAGCTGTTAACTGATCACCACCTGGTGGTGAGCTAGACCCGCTGGCAGGGGAGGAAGCCGGTCAGACCTGGCAGGCCTAAGTGTGTTGTGATGGTCTGTTGGGAATGTCTGGTGGATCCTTCTGTTAGTGCGGTCTTAAACTCCCACCTCCGGATGAGTTTCTCCCAGATCACAAAGGAGGTTGGAGACATGGAGTCGAAGAGGTCCATGTTTGCCTCCTTTATTGTCAATACGGCCGTTTGTAGCTGTGGCCGAAAGGTCTCTGGTGCTTATCGCGGAGGCAATCCCTGAACCTGGTGATGGCTCCTGGAAGTAAGGGATGCGTCAAGCGGAAGAAGAAGGCATACCTGGACTTGTTAGCTAGTGGTACTCCGGAGTCAGCTGAGTCTCAGAGGCAAAATCTCGGGTCTGGGAGGAAAGGCCATGGAGGGGGACTATTGGTCCGCCTCGAAAGTGTTCTGGAAAACTGTCCCCCGCCTTAGGAATGGGTGGGGAGCTGCTGATCTCAACTGGGGATATTGTTGGGCGGTGGAAGGCTGAGGCTGGGGACTTAGAGGAGGACTCGCCCATCAGTCAGGCTGAAGTCACTGGGATAGTTAGAAAGCCTCTCAGTGGCAGGGCCCGGGGGGTGGATGAGATTTGTACCGTAAGTATCTGGATGTTGTAGGACTGGCTTGGCTGAAGTCGCTGTGGTATCATGTGGCAGTCGGGGACAGTACCCCTGGATTGGCAGACCGGGCTGGTGGTCCCTCACTTTAAAAAGGGGGACTGAAGGGTGTGCTCCAATTACAGAGTGATCACACTCTTCAGCCCCTGTAAGGTCTACTCCAGAGTGCTAGAGAGGAGGATCCGGCCGATATTGAACTGCGGACTATTGTATTCTTTTTATATATATATATTTATATATTTTTTTTATAAGAACTGTATATGTACATTCATATGTTTATATTACAGTTTTTTTTATATATATTTTATACTCTTTTTCAAGGATGCACTTTTAAAAAAGATTAAATTGTCCAGAGAGCTGTTGCAAACAAAATTTATTTTTGTTTTGACAAATAAATCTGTCTAAGTCTAAGGTCCCAGTCACAACAAACTGGACCAGCTCTACACCCTTCATTGTGTGCTCAAATGTTCGTGGCAGTTCGCCTAACCACTCCATATGTGTTTTGTGGATCTGGAGAGGGCTTTCAACTGTGTCCCTCGTGGTGCCCTGCCGTGAGTGCTCCGGAAGTATGGGGTCTGGGTCCCTTTGTCACCGGTTCTGTTCATTACATGTATGGCAGAATTTCTAGGCGCAGCTAGGGACCGGAGGGTGTATGGTTTGCGAACCTCAGGATATCTTCTCTGCTGTTTTCAGACAATGTTATCCTGTTGGCCTAATCAAACCAGGACCCTTTGACGTGTACTGGGGCGGTTTGCAGCCAAGAGTGAAGCAATCGGGATGGTTCTCCACCCGAGAAAGGTGGACTCCCCTCTTCAGATTGGTGGAGAGTCCTTGTCTGAAGTGGAGGATTTACGGATGGAGCACGAGATTGATAGACAGATCCGTGCAGCGTCGGCAGTGATGCGGTCACTGTATCGGACTTTAGTGTTGAAGAGGGAGCTGAGTAGGGGGGCAAAGCTCTCGATTTACCAATCGATCTTCGTTTCCACCCTCACTTATGTTCAGGAGATCTGAGTAAGGACCGAAAGGACAAGACCGTGAATACAAGCAGCCGAAATTAGTTTCCTTCGCAGGGTGGCTGGGCGCACCCTTCGAGATTGGGTGAGGAGCTCAGTTACCCAAGAGGAGCTTGGAGTAGAGTCGTTGCTCCTCCACATCGAAAGGATCCAGCTGAGGTGGCTTGGGTACCAGAACAGCTCGAGGAAGTGTGTTTTGATCAGGAAGTCTGGGAATCTCTGCTTAGACTGCTATCTCTGTGACCCGGCCCCGGATAAAGCAGAGCGAAAATGAATGGATGGATGGATCTTTACCTGACAGGAGATGAGGACCAAATGGATTGATACAAAATAGAACAGAATAAGTAAAAAAAAAAAATCCTTTTTAAATGTGACATTACAAATTAAACGTTTAAAAGCTTTATTGTGAATAAAGATATACATACATACATATATATATACATACATTCATACATACATATATACATATATATATATAAATATTTAATTATGTTTTTGAAATCTTGGATAACTAAACTTTTAAAATAAGTGAGCAAAAAATAAATGCTAGGATTTTGAATTGGGATTTGAGATTGTACTGAATGGATTTATGATTATGTTTTAAATATGTCAAGTTACAAAAAAATTATTATCTCACACTGCAAAATGAAAATAAGTGTTAAGGGTTTATATGTATTTTGAATGACCTCTAAATGAAAAAAAAAAAAATTAATAATAATAATAATAATAATTTTAAGGAACTTATTAGCAAACCTATATCTTAAAAACTAACACGAAGGACTCCCAAAGCTTCCAGAAAGTTAATCTTCTGCTTATTGCAGTTGCTCTAGCCATTTTAGGTTGAGATGGCTACTTCATTTAACTACTCTGTAGAAATAACCTCTTCATCAATTTCCTAGCATACAACAATGGGATTTTGATAACCTGTGTGCTCCAGGATCCCCCTGATGAAATAAATATTTGCCCTGTTGGCTATAAACAATACCAGGCCAAAATAATGCCAGCTTTTACTATCTTTCAGATTTCGCTGTATCAGAGTCACCAGCAGAGAAAGCGGGTTCACTTCACTCATTTCCATAAATCTCACAGTGAGAATCGTGTTGAATTGTCATCAAGATCTCCTCTAAAGAATGATTGCTTGCTAAGTTAACTTTGCTATTTTACCTAAAAGTTTTTAAAGCGTACAAAGAGCTTGCTTAATAATTCTGTCAATTTCCAAGGAAAGTATTTCTCCTAGAGTGATGTTTTGGATCAATATATTTTAATGAAACACACTGGCCTAATGTTGTGTTCCTTTTCAGATCTTTTCTTCATAATCATCGCAGTCAATAAAACCAAATATTGTGATCAAATCTCAAATATATTGCATATAATCATGATCATTTATGTGTAGGTTATTTTGTGTGCTGACTTAGAACTGGGCCATTCCTACACATGAAAATGCTATGATCTAAACCTGTCTCTACAGCTACTGCTGACGGTTCTTGACACTGTCCTCTGGAACTTTGAACCTCTGCTCGAGTCTCAACTCTTTTAGCCACTTATAAATATCTTTCTAAGGTTATCCTTTATCCTGACCTTACCTGGTAACCAGATTGATAATAAGGATTTCTCATGTGTTTTTTTTATTGCGGACAAAAAGGGGGGAAAAAAAACGTTTTTTTTTTGTTTTTGTTTTTTTTTATACAGGTATCATTCGTCCAATCATTCCTCAATTTGAAATCATCAATGGAAATATCACAAAACTTTTTTTTATTAAACTATATAGAAAAACAGAAAGTAGGCCTAGTTACTATTTTAATTAATTGTTTTTTTCTACAAACACATGAAGAAAACAAGGTTATAAATAATTCTTTTCAAAAACAGTTTCAAAATAGAGACATGAAAAAAGGTATACTGACAAGAGATGAGAGGTGGGTACATTTATCACTCTACTTCACA